GAGAGAGAGAGAGAGAGAGAGAGAGAGAGAGAGAGAGAGAGAGAGACTGGCCTCTTTAAAGTCGCTCGCCAAGACCCATGCAGAAAGGCCTTCCCATAATTGCGTGACTTTGACTTAATTTTCTGTTTATATTATATACAAATAATACTGCTATTAATAGTTGTCAAGATTATTTTATGGACTGATCTGTGTCGGACAAACAGAGAGGCTGATATAGTGGAAGCAAGCATTTGATAAAGAAAACAATATCCATGCTAAAATACTTTCCCCTCACCAGGGCATTCTGCTGTACTGTGACTACCAGGCCTCCACCTTCGATGTGGCGAACCTTCCCAGTCAGAGGTTTGAGGCCATGGACCACTTTGCGAAGTGCTTCCTGATCCTGCGGCTGGAGGGCCGCGGAGTGGAAGGGGGTCTCCACACTGCCGAGGGGGACGTCAGGGGCTGGAGGGCAGTGCGCGTGGACCTGGTGTCGCCACCTATGGATCATTACGCCTTCGCTCTCCTGGGCTGGACCGGCTCCAGGGTATGAGGGATTTATACAGTACAGGCCGAATGACAGTGAGCAGTAGCTGCAGGTGGAATCCATTGGGTTAAAAAAAAAAAAAGCAGGACAAATGTAGAAGTGTGCTGTCTTTTATGATCGATCATGTCTTGTGTGCGCCACCGCCATGTAATGGAACAAGGTCGAGGTCCAGGTAGTCTTCAGTCTGTCTGGCTCTATGGAGACATACTTTTTAGACAACAGAACCACCTTCAAGGAGATTTGAAAGATATGAAAAAGTCAATACAAAGGCAAGTGTACAATGATATGTAAATGTCTGACATGAAAATACCTTCTTTATCTATCAGGAAGAAAATATGCATTCAGGCGACCCGATTTCCTTTCAGTGCCATAAAAAAACAGATAAGTGAAATAGATATCTGGTTTCAGACCATTGATTCTTTTCTTCCACAGCAGTTTGAGAGAGACCTGAGGAGGTTCGCTCGAGGGAAGCGAGGGATGCTTCTGGACAACCACGCCCTGTACGACAAAACCAAGGTACTTAGTGCAGCATTAGATACACAATCACTGGAGCTGATTCCTGAGTCCATCAACTGATAGCGGACAAGAAGGCAGTTAAGATTTACTCCTTAAGAGTTATAGTCACTCAAACAAAAGTGTACCCATTTGACGGAATTACTGAAAATTTGCTATGGTGGCTATTTAGAGCTGCAAATCGTAGCAGCATTTGTGTCAAATACTCTTGAAAGTTTGCCACAAAACATAGACTTTGTGGTTTAAGTTGAAACCACAGACGGTTCCATGGCTGGCTACAGAATATGTTTTCTACATATACCATCGTTTCACCATGTCATAGTTTGTGGTGAGTCTATCTCGGATGGTTACCACATTATGGCGAATAATCGAAATACTCCTTTCTCATTATGAATGGGATATGTTCCAACTCGCACAGCCGGCTGTCGTCTGTGGAAAAAAGAAGCAGCCGATGGACACGACACCGGACCTATTTGAATTGCTGAACAATTTTAGAGATGCACTGTAGGCGGCAATTCAGAGAGAGGTATTTAATCCAATCCAAGGGAGGGCACAAGCAAAACGCTTTGTACTGTGAGGTACTGCCAGTGAAACTCAAAAACCACAACCTCCTCTTCCATTGGTCTTGGAAAGAAGCGGGATGGAGTGATCTGATCATTGAGTTTATTCTTGGTCTCCCCTCTGAGTGTGCGCTTATCAATCTGGATAGTAAATTACAGCCAAATCTTTGGTCCTCCAAGGTTTTTTTGGGGGGAAAGATCAGGGCCGGCGTGTTGACAATAGCACAGCATGAGGAAACGTACACAAATTACGTTGAATAATTTGATGCAAAATGTTCTCCCGCTCTGAGCGAAAGCAGAAACTTGATACCGGAGCGAGGACAACATTTTTTTAATTATAGCACAGCGCTCAGTGGGAGGCGTGCAGGGTTTGGCGGGATGGATTGCAGTGCAATGCTCCATCGCAGCAGTACACACGAGTACACCATAGCAAGTCATGTGAACAAAAGCCACTTTAATGTTTTTTATATACAGTATATAAAGCACGATGCATGTTTGCGTAAAGGTAGTTGCAAGGTTCATTTACACATTTCCAAATTAAATAAACCACATCTTACCTTACGCAGTGATGTAAAGGCGTTTTTTTTTACGCCACAACTCATGTAATTTAATAACTAATTAAGTCTTTGCTTGCCTGCAATGCAAGGGCCAATTAGGTTTTGTTTAGGAACACCTTGCGTGTAGGTGTGTTGTCATCCAGTAGTTAAAAGTCTCACGCAGGGTCGGTAACGTGTTAAGAGGGGCTGTCATAATTGGCAAAATATCACAAAGTGAAACCTTCAGTCATGGCACCTGAGATAATTTTAGCCACACACAGAAGACATTCGCCACATGCGACAAAATCTATTTTTACAACAGGTGTGACGAGCTAGTGAAGCAGCGGCGACGGACAGCAGCTAATTTTGCATTCTACGCGAAGAGAGCCGCGAGTCAGGGGGTGTGATTGTTAATATAATTAGGATGTAGCTAACGAGCTGGTGTAGCGAGCTGTAGACAGAGAACGCACAAGAATGCAAGTTTGATTGAATCGGCCGCTCAATCAAGCCACTGCGTGGGTTTATTTCTGTTTTGTCAATTAACGTCGCGCGGAACTGACCAACCAGTTTGGACGACAGGTGGGAAGTAAAAGACGGCAGCCGTTTGTTTTTCCGTGCAGAGAGCAACAAGTCGGGGAGTTTCAATCAAGCAAATGCTGGAACGTTTGTCTGAGATTGCGTTGATCAGCGAAGCCACTTTCAGTTTTTGTATTAAATCCCAGTTATTTGTATGTGTGTGTTTGTCGTACATCAGCTGGAGACGTACGGCCTCAGCTTTGTTCATCCGCACGACTCTCTGATTTACAGCGATCAGATAGCGAGACACACTCCTGAAAGCACCAGTGTGTGAGAGTAAACTTGGGAAAAAAGACATCTTCAGCTGCAGAACTCTATTATTTAGCGGGGGAAACGTTATATAGCACTGACAAGACGACAACAAAAATTCCAGGGAACCATCAATCTTTGAGGCGGGCGTCTCCGAGGCTCGCGTTTTACCACCGCCCTCGCCACTTTTCCATGCATCCTTGCAAGTTAGCCCCGGCTCATTTCCAAGGCAGAGCGGCGTGCTGTCTTGAGCTACGAGCGCGGGAAGGGGGGCGTATCGGCGCGGCGGATCGACAGGAGAGACACCCTGTCAGAGCGGTGTCCCGTCAGCCAGTCCCCTCGGGGGGGACACAGGTCAGAGTCGCCAGCTTCCTGACAGATTTTATACACAACCAGCCGACTCAGATGGTGTTTATTCAAATGCAAGGGCAGAGCCAGGCCTGCTGACAGTGCAGCCATCCATCCGTGCGCTGGAGCGGACAGGGAGGAAAATCACGCGCAAAAAACACGCACACACATTCCTACGGAAAAAACCTTGCGCGCGTTTGCTGGAGTCTGATGCGGTAAGAAGGCGCGTCGAGCACTTTGAAGAAGAACAGATGATTCTTGAAAGTGAGCTATTAGCCTGGCAGAGATTGTAGAAGTGCAGGGAAACAGGCCAAGCACACACACACACACACACACACACTCTCTCTCGCTCACTTAACCAGGGCCATTGCTTCCACAGGCCCGTTTCAAGGTCAGCAGAAAGCTTAACGTACATCCGGACAGAATCCCACACATCGGCTGCACATCACAGTCGCAATTAACGTAATGAAGACCAATCAACTGTCCTGCCGCCACGGCCTGCACTCAACGATCCCTCTGTTCTCCGTGGGCAGGAGAGGAGGGGTGTCCCTCCCTGTTTTTTTTGTCTTCTTTTCTTTTTCGTCCGACGCTCACCGACGGTAATTGGTTCGTCGATGGCGCGGTAATGGAGCTTCCATCTTCTCTGCGACCCGTCTAATTGGCCGGTGGTGTCGGAGAGATTGGGCGCCGCTCGTCTCAGAGAGACAGGGGAGCGATGAGGACTGGCGTCTGATTATAAAAGGGAGACATCCCCGCTAAAGACCAAAAGACGGTCATTTAGAGGACTTAAATCTTGTCGGCTTCAGAAAGCTCTCACTGGATACAAGCTGGTCTCCGTCTTATTATAAAATGCTTAAAAAAAGATTAGAGGGCTAATACTCGAGCTAATGATCTCCCAATTAAGAACAGGCTCATGGGGAGTCCTCGTCTCGCCGTGGGAGGGAGCTGGACAACCGTCACACGGAGACACGATGACTCGGGGCTCACGCGCACCAAACATGTTTGCAGTGTGAAGCACTCTCTGTCATACAGACTGCTTGCGCAGGTGTAAACGATGTTATTCGAAACACAGGTGACACCGGAGGAACAGCAGCGAAACAGCTGAAAGTGCAGTTCTGGTCCATAGTGGGAACATTATCCAAACCAATTACAGGGAATGACCCCACAACGCGGGGCTTTATGGGTGTCAGGAGACGGGTGTTGACAGCTGGAGTTCCTCGCGCTTGTAAAGCCTCGCATAACATAATGAACACACTACAGCCTGCGCTGAGAAGAGTATGGGCCGAGGAGCACAGCTCTCAGACCCCTGAAAGAGAACCGTCACATTGAGATGCTAAGCTAAGCTTGTATGGCCTTCGATGTTTTCTCCTCCGCTTTTCCTCCTGTAGCCAACTCCTCTAAACCGGCAGTTACCAATACTTCGGCCCCTTTATAACCAGACAGTCAAGGTAATAAGGAGGCCCAAAAAGGAACTAAATCACAAACTGAAAATCCATTTTCTGTTTTCACTGTTTCTGAAGAACCATTGTGATCGGGCAGTTTGTCAGAGAGGCACTTGTCACATTTTGTTCTTTTGTAGTTTTCTGTTATTCGATTGTTGCACACAGACCGGGACAGAGAGTGAAAACACCAGAAATAGCAACAATCGATATTATTGTGTATCATTTTTATAATTTCTGCATTGGTATTTGAAAGAACGATTTCCACTTAGTGCTGAAACAATTAGTTTATTAATTCATTGGACGACTGACAAAAAGATAAATCTCTTGCAGTTTTGACTGTCGATAAATTGTTCAGTCATTTATCAAACGTTGTCTCAGAGATGTGAAGTCTGCAGGTTGTGAATTGTTGGTCAGACAAAGCAATGTGAAGATGTCTTCTTGGCCTTTTGGTTATTAATATTTTGAAACTATTTTCAGTCGTGTTTCTGGCCACCTCATGAATGCAAATCCAATATTGTCTCTCTTTTTGCTCCGTTTTTGGTCTCAACCAGCTCCTGAGGTACTCTAGCATCTATATGCTCCACTAAGTTCACCAGCCGGCCACTTACTTTGTCCACCAGATTTTTGCCAAAAGAAACACAGAGCGGTGAGAGTGAACTTAAACTGTATGGTCACTGTATGAATGAATGCATGAATGCTGTAGCAGCAGACATTTTTGACTGGTCATAGTAGGAAAAGCACATGTTACTGATAACATTAACGCTGGCTCTGTTCTATTCAGGTGTCTGTAACACCAGGACCCTGAAACTGGAGCAGCTAAATGGAATTCAGCCGTGACTGATTTTATTATTCACACCTGTGCTTTTCCTACCGAGACATGTTAAAAATGACCTCCAGTCTCATAGTGTCAGATAGCGACGACCCATGACGTCTTGTGGTCCAGTACCCAAATTCAGATGTGGATTTCCGAGAAAGAGCTCCTGCTGTGGAAGAGGGTGTTTTTTTCAAACGAAGAAGCCACTGAGTCGGTCGGTTTGTGCTCGCGATCGGCCACTGCCAAACCAGGAAATCATTCACACCCCGGCGTGATCGATATGGCTGCACCTCCACTGTCAGCTTGGGGTCGGGACACCCTGCGAGCAATAACTGACATCCAGGCGTCCTCTGGAAACACTCCGCTGACTTGTAGTGCCACAGGCACTTACAGCCAGCATCAGTGTGTGGCCTCCACAGTTGAATTTTAACTGTAGGTCTGAGGTGGCAGCTGTGGGGGGTGAGCGAGGGAGGCGGGT